TCAGTGATTTAACGACGAACACCATATACTGTTTGAAATCGAATTACGAGAAAAATTCATTAAATAATATACTTTGAGAGAAGATATATTTGCTTCTTTTTTTTGTTAGGAATGTTCTTCCATCATTATTCGTATTAGTATCAGTATTATCTCTTAAAGATGAAAATATTTAATAATAGATTAAACATGGATATAATGGATAAATTTCATTTTTTTTCAAGTATATAAATTAAAATTACAATCAGTTTTTGCAGAATTTTTAAAAAATTGTGGTTACAAACGAATATATTTTATTAATTAATTTAATTTTTGGTCTCTTTTAAGAAACCATTTGCAGGCACTGGACATCCCACCATTTTAGGATTAGTTTATAAATAAGTGTATATGTACATATAATAAAATACATGCGCAAATTATGTGATATATTTAACAAGACTCTTTTTTATATTATATTTAATATTATATCGCGCAAATGCATGAATGTAACATGAAATATGTGAGTAATTAAAAAGTTCGAGACAAATTGAATGGGTACTCTGATATCAGTAAGATATCGGCAAATTAATTTATTGATATTTTGATTGTTATAAACAAATTAATTGATTGGTAATTTTTTATTTAATGTTGAATTTTAAATATTTATAATTTATAACGTTGAATATTTAATGCTAAATATTTGAATTGATCTTTTTTTAAATTCTTGCTGTTATCGGATTTAATTTGTTTCGAGCACATTTGGTACCCTAAACTTATTTGTACTCACATATTTAACCAAGCAATGATAAAAGCGCATGTATTTCATTTTTCTTAAATATACTTGATTGTAACCACATATACATAAAGATCGTTATATTCAATTGTTTTTTAATAAAAAGGATATTTCTCTCTCGTGGAAGAACATGTTTTTTACGTGAACTTTTATCTCATATATTGAAGATGATGACAACGGTAACAGTCGTTAATTCGCTGCCGAAATCACTGCTATCGGGAGCAATCAGGAATATCGGGGATTCGTTCTCTCCTGTAGCGGGACTTTTGACGTTTAATGGATCACTTAACTTTCCTTTGTGAATCGATTCCACAGGGCCTGACATAGAAATAAGACAAGTTGAAGTCGCTTTCCACTTTTAGGATCGTTCTTCTCTCTGTCAGATATTAACCAGTGTGTCACTCGGCAGAGGGATCCTGATCTGGTCTAATCGTTAGGTCAGTTATCCTCCATTAAACGCGGCGATAACGCGATTATCTTAAGAATTATAAAGTTTATTTTATTTTGTTTTGCAATTGTTTACGAAACAGGATATAGATTTTATTTTTGATCGCGCAATTCGTATAAAATCGCGCATTTGAAAATAAATCGGCCATTAGATTCTACATCCGCGTTCGATTCCTTACATTATAAATCCACATATTATAATTACAAATTATGAAATGCACTCCGAATGTCGAAACATTTTTATTGTCGCAACATATTACAATTACCGTCAATTTATTTATTCATCGTGTCACATTCGCGAAATTTAAACCGCGATTTATCTTCTGATTTAATTGTTGGGTAACATCGAAACTTTATCTATCTTTTCACGCTCCAGGTTGTGCGCTCTTCATGCTCCGAATATTTTCTTTAAAAAATCTTTCTCTTTTAATTGAGAGAGAAACATAATCGATAAATTCATTGATGATTTTTTTGGTCGCGGTATCAGCTACGTTTAATCTAAAAATTTTAATATATTTTATATTGTACGTATTTTGAACATTTTCGTGTAATTCCATGTAATAAATTATTTTATATTAAATTTTAAATTATATTTTGTATTGAATTTCTGATTATATTTTGTATATTGTTATATATTTTGTATATTAAATTTATTATATCATTTGTTGTATCATTTATTGTGTATTAAAATGAAAACAAAAATAAAAAGGACCTACCCTAACCTGAGAAATGAAAAAGAGGAAAACTATCCTCACACATTTTTCCTCCTCTGGGTTTAATCGCTCTCAAAGCGATTAAACTTGCTTCATTCAAAACGCTAATAAGTTACCGGTAGGGTCACCCATGCCGGACAGGTTCAAGGGGAAGAGTCAGACTAAGAGAGATACCATAATTATTATAAATTTATTATATTATTATTTTTAAATTAAATAAAAGTGTGAAAAAACAATAATTGAGAGAATAAAGAAAAGGGATTTTTAGTCGTTTGAACATCTTTTAAGAATATTTGAAGACAAAGCGCAGGCTCCTACGTTCTTAAGACAACAGAATTCGATAGGCCATAAAAATACAGGAACTTAAAAAAAAGGATGTGTTGGACAGTATTCCTATCATCGAGCGAGCATATAAACGTGAAACAATTAATTAATGCTGTTAATGATTACAACTTATCTGATTTCGAAATAACACGGCTGAAATTATAGGAAAATGAAGTATTTATAATAGAATAGACCTCTGCGTTTCGGAAATCACAATTTTTCGTATGTCGTATAAAAATATATTCAAGTCTTGAGAGAGGTAAATTTTTTGCAATTTTGGCTTCTTATTTAAAGTTCTGGATAGCATCCCATGAGATATAAAAGAAACTTTTAGCATTTTTACGTTGAAACCAATATTGCAATAGATATCGCAACTTTTTGTATGATATTTTCCAAAAACTTAACAGTATCACCGGGCGATTATGTGAACGTGAAAGAATTAATTAACATTGTTAATGATTAAATCTCTTTCAAAATCGACAATACGTGATTAAAACTATAGGAAAATATAATAATTTTAATATATATAGAATAGATTTCCGCGTTAACAAAAAAATATAAAAATAAAATTTTATAGATATTTTAGAAGAGGATAGAAGACAATATTTGATATCATCTTGTTAAATGTTTAAGTAATTCATCTAATCGTGTCTCAAATGACAAGATGACTTCGCATCTTAATAATAATGTACCGAGAAAAACGATAGCTAAATACAAGAATTAATTGAATTTTACCGTTTTGAAATATTTAACATTTTATAATATAAATTCAGGCTAAATATTTTCTATGCTTTCTTGCATTTTTTTTCAAATTAATTTCAATGATTGGGCCAACATTGCATATGAAGTTTAATTTAAGTTCATTTGAAAAATATAATTTATCTTAATTTGAACGAAAAACTATTTTTTGCGTAAATTAATTTAATATTATTATTTTATACCAAATTTTTATATTCTGAAAATTTATTTCTTTTTTTAAATTTGGGATTTTTCGTAATATTGCAGTTTATTAAATAATATATGGTGTAAAAGAAATAAATTGCGCACGCGTGGCCGACACTTTGTAATATTTTAATCTAGAGTAGAGTTTAAATTACTTATTGCTACAATATATTTGATATCAATTTTTACAAATTGCTATATAATTTACAAACGCGAATGTTTAAAATAACAATAAAATTTAATGAGACACATCAAGAAAAATATAAAATATATATTTCGTACATTTACAGAAAAATTAAGTATATAAAGCAATAGATATCGCATCTTTTTGTATGATATTTTCCAAAAACTTAACAGTATCACCGGGCGATTATGTGAACGTGAAAGAATTAATTAACATTGTTAATGATTAAATCTCTTTCAAAATCGACAATACGTGATTAAAACTATAGGAAAATATAATAATTTTAATATATATAGAATAGATTTCCGCGTTAACAAAAAAATATAAAAATAAAATTTTATAGATATTTTAGAAGAGGATAGAAGACAATATTTGATATCATCTTGTTAAATGTTTAAGTAATTCATCTAATCGTGTCTCAAATGACAAGATGACTTCGCATCTTAATAATAATGTACCGAGAAAAACGATAGCTAAATACAAGAATTAATTGAATTTTACCGTTTTGAAATATTTAACATTTTATAATATAAATTCAGGCTAAATATTTTCTATGCTTTCTTGCATTTTTTTTCAAATTAATTTCAATGATTGGGCCAACATTGCATATGAAGTTTAATTTAAGTTCATTTGAAAAATATAATTTATCTTAATTTGAACGAAAAACTATTTTTTGCGTAAATTAATTTAATATTATTATTTTATACCAAATTTTTATATTCTGAAAATTTATTTCTTTTTTTAAATTTGGGATTTTTCGTAATATTGCAGTTTATTAAATAATATATGGTGTAAAAGAAATAAATTGCGCACGCGTGGCCGACACTTTGTAATATTTTAATCTAGAGTAGAGTTTAAATTACTTATTGCTACAATATATTTGATATCAATTTTTACAAATTGCTATATAATTTACAAACGCGAATGTTTAAAATAACAATAAAATTTAATGAGACACATCAAGAAAAATATAAAATATATATTTCGTACATTTACAGAAAAATTAAGTATATAAATATTTTTAATAAACGGACATACACTAGCGTGATTCACATACTGAACTCGATTGGATGTCAATCTAGTAGTTTTTACACATTGCAAATAATCTGTTACAACAGATTATTACATTTATTTGCAACAAAATATTACATTTTATCTTACAACGTTTTCTAACATGGAATAATAAAAATAATTTCTGTGCTATACTCATTTCTCTATAATAACAATATATTATGCGTATGAGTTTTATATATATATTTTTAAGAATGTATATAAATAGTTTTCTCTTCCTTTTTTTACTATTATTTAAGATAATTAAGGATTATCACAATCAGTTTAGAAATATTTTATAATATCCTATTAATGTTTTTAAGAGATAAATATTTATAAACTGTACGGGACGCGTGTACTTTTCATCATAAATTTCATTTCTCTAAATTTTTCATTCAAGATCTATTAAAATATTTCTGCATTATTAAGTTTGTGGGTATTAAATTTTATATAATTTAACTCAACATAAAAGAAATTTTTCCAAAAAGTGTTAAAGAAACTTTGTCGACAATATGTAGAAATACAATCTTAAACTTTTGTTGTATGCTCATTATTTGTTAACGCGCACTCGTCGCACCATAGGAACGTCATATACCAAATTGAAGAAGGCATTTGCTATATGAGCGAATGCTCTTGCCCACGCAGTGATTTTATAATTAATTTCTTTTAATAGCGGTAGCGTGTTTTCTACTGAAGGAGGTTTTTCCCTGAAAAATAAATATATGTTATGAAAATAAGAGCGCGACTTAAAAAATTTTGAATTAATTCCATTTTTTAAATTTATATAACAAATAAATTTTTTATCTATTTTTCTAATATAATAAAAATCTTTTTGTATTAATATAAATAAACCATAAATAATTGTACTATATTAAAAAATTTTGTATCAAAACGCATTTTAAAATAAATAATAATATACGATTATAAAAAGATTGATCTAATATAGATATTCACCTGTCGCTTTCCAATTGCTTCTTCGTTTCATTGGTATAAGTGTACATATAGCACGCCGGATAGGAACTCGTAGTCTTTACTCGATGAAACATTCCTGTTTTTACGGGAATCGATTTTTCTTTCGGTACAATAATCGTTTTTGTCGATTCTTCCTCGTTATAAGTTACTTGGCCTTCTAATACAGTCAGGGAGACGTTTGCAAAATCGGTGGATATGTAATTTTCCAAGTACATTCCCGGAAAATCGGCTACGAATAACACATCCGTATAATTCGACCAGGTATATACGTGCTGCTGAATTTCCTCCAGTTTATATCTGACAGCCATAAAGAACATAATTATAATTTTTATTGACTTTTTTAGTTAACCAATAATTATTAATTTTATAATTAATTATTTATTAATAATCTTACAATTGTTATTATTATCTCTAAAATTAATTATCTTTTGCGATATATTTGCGCTTGCGCGAAAATACATTATAATTAATGAAGTTTTAACGACCATAAAAATAGACGTACCGATACGAATTATATCGCGTGAGTAATGGCATTAGAAATGAAACAGGTTTGAAAGGATGCCAATCGACCGTCAACATATCGACATTTGGGTCAAATATTCTCTGTTGAAATCTGCCGTTTAGCGAACACCAGACGTCCATGTAAATGCTTAAATTCGTGGACAGTCTCATCCATTTTTCCTTATCCTCAAAATGGTAACGGGTACCCAATGTTTCCTCCCTTCGACGCATCAAATTATCCTGAAATTATATATGAAATAGAAATACACATAACAATATTTTATTAATAAGATGAGCAGAGCGTTTAAAAAAAAAAAAACGGGATTCAAAAAAGCCAATTATATTAATTAAAAATATTAAATAATATTACAGATATTTATTGCGACGCTTCAATACCTTGATCTAATATAGATATTCACCTGTCGCTTTCCAATTGCTTCTTCGTTTCATTGGTATAAGTGTACATATAGCACGCCGGATAGGAACTTGTAGTCTTTACTCGATGAAACATTCCTGTTTTTACGGGAATCGATTTTTCTTTCGGTACAATAATCGTTTTTGTCGATTCTTCCTCGTTATAAGTTACTTGGCCTTCTAATACAGTCAGGGAGACGTTTGCAAAATCGGTGGATATGTAATTTTCCAAGTACATTCCCGGAAAATCGGCTACGAATAACACATCCGTATAATTCGACCAGGTATATACGTGCTGCTGAATTTCCTCCAGTTTATATCTGACAGCCATAAAGAACATAATTATAATTTTTATTGACTTTTTTAGTTAACCAATAATTATTAATTTTATAATTAATTATTTATTAATAATCTTACAATTGTTATTATTATCTCTAAAATTAATTATCTTTTGCGATATATTTGCGCTTGCGCGAAAATACATTATAATTAATGAAGTTTTAACGACCATAAAAATAGACGTACCGATACGAATTATATCGCGTGAGTAATGGCATTAGAAATGAAACAGGTTTGAAAGGATGCCAATCGACCGTCAACATATCGACATTTGGGTCAAATATTCTCTGTTGAAATCTGCCGTTTAGCGAACACCAGACGTCCATGTAAATGCTTAAATTCGTGGACAGTCTCATCCATTTTTCCTTATCCTCAAAATGGTAACGGGTACCCAATGTTTCCTCCCTTCGACGCATCAAATTATCCTGAAATTATATATGAAATAGAAATACACATAACAATATTTTATTAATAAGATGAGCAGAGCGTTTAAAAAAAAAAAAACGGGATTCAAAAAAGCCAATTATATTAATTAAAAATATTAAATAATATTACAGATATTTATTGCGACGCTTCAATACCTTTAAACATTGCGAATATTGGATCGCCATGTCCCCATGTCTCACCCATCTATTTCCTTGAACCCATGCTTCAGGATCTAAATATCGAACTTCGTTGTTTGCGTTATCGTGAACTTTGATCACTACTAGCATAGTATCCCAGGCATGGATCATCATATCCCAGGAATAACCATATAAACCAGGCACCCAATTGTTGTAACCCTAAGATATAAAATATTTTACATAGTCGTTAAAATATAGATATATAAAAATTTATTTAAAAATCTAGAAAAAAATGCAATACAAATTATTTTGTTTTATGACTATGTGAAACTGATTCAATTGTATATATAAACGTAATAAAATATAATCTTGAAATAATTATTATTTTTAGATAATGTCAATGTAATATTGACGTTAATAATTTTGATACCTTTGATATAAAATGCGAGTACGGCAAAAAAAACTGCAGCGCAACGTGGCACAATAATATGGAAACCACAAACTTTTGTTTTCTTGTCGCTTTTCGTGGTTGCTGACATTCCTGAAGTTTTTTAAGAATACTTGTTGCTTCCTTTTCATCCGACTCAATCGAATTTTTAGATAATTGTATATCGTTATCTTTTTTGTCTACTTTTTTGTTAGATTCTGATTTAATCAAGTAATTTTTATCTACTTCATTCTTTGTTCTTTTTTCTGAAAGTGTAAATATCTTAGACTTTATACATATTAAAAGATGATTGTAAAAGAGATGATTATTTACCTTTATGCTTTGTTTCATTATGTAAAATTTCATTTGAAGGCAACGCGGAACAATCGGAACTTAGAGATTCTTTTATTTGACTATCAGTCTCTTTCACGCTATCTGCGCCGATTAAATTTACATCAGTCAGTAAGATCTCTCGCTTCGAGCTAAAATAAAGTTCTAATCTACGTGGCCAGTCCGCGCTGCAAAATAGCGACATTGTCGCTAGGCACACATACGGGAACATTCCTGGAAAGATTTTCTTCTGTATTTTATATAAGTAGCAATGCCAAAAAAAGTCTTGATTATTCTTATCACACTTTATTAATACTTTATCAAGTACAAGAATAATTACCTATGCTAAATAGTCTCGAGTTCATTACGTGAAAAGCAGTGCAGAATATCATGGCCGGTATTCGTGTTTTTTCGAACAGCATCCAGAATCCGACGGACAGATCGAAGATAAAAGTGAACCAGTGAACAATTAGAAAGTCAATTTGTTCGGTTGTTAAAACTATTCTGAAAAAAATTGTTCCTTTTCATCTAGATATAGATCGTTAACCAAGAAATAATCCTCTTATTTTTTATACGCTGTGCTTTTTGTTTGTTATAATATTTGATATGCTTTTTAATCTCGGTTCGAATAATATCACTCACTTGAACGGATGAAATACCCAGTGTCTGGACAGATTTGTCATAGCGTAACCTTCGAGCCATTCTCTGCCGGACTTTTTCAAGCCGGCCAAGAAATAAAGAGCGAAAAATTGAAATTTCAGGATGAAATAATTCCAGTATGGCACAAAATTGCCGTTTCGTTTCGCGTTACTTGCATCAAATGCGCTACGAGATATTGATTTTTGATTAGTTTGTGATTAATATACGAGAGTTACGAGGAATAAAGAGATTCGACTTACAAATACTTGTTCGCTTCCGTTCCCCAGAACAAGGTCGCTACAATGCCGTAGAGATAAGTATGATTGTTCCAATAGCCTTTGTCCAAGAGAAAGATATACCAATAGGGTAACACAAAGCAAGCGCACGCGATCTTAAAGTGCAAACCGAGCGCGATTCCGAAGGCACCTGTCCACATCACCGTGTATATCATTATCATCCATGGAAGCGACGGCGCTTTCATTCCGTGTATCAAAGGGAAATGACAATCCCACGGATCGCCCCATTTTATGTCGATGTCTGCTAATCCTCTCTCCTCGACAATATCTATTACCATGCACAATCCTGGCAAAAGATGTGACTTGTCATTAGATTTTCAGAATATAAAATAAACCAAAAAAGTTGAGATCTTTTAATAAGATAATTAATAAATTATTGTTATTACTTTTACGTAATGTCAGACAATCTCATTTTTAGCGCTTAACTATATTAAAATTTGATTATTCCAAATTATTAAGTTAAAAATGCTAATAAAAGATGCATTTTATATAAGCAGTATATAAATGGTCATGTTTCTATTGGCTCGAATCTCATTAATCCTCATGACTGCTTTAATAGATCTTAAATCGTGTTTAATTCCTACGATTCAAATTCTTTGCTTCATTTATAAAGTGTTGCAGCGAGATATATCATTAATGTAATAAAATATAAATTATATTTTTAATAAAATATAAATTATATAATTATAAATTATATAATTGGGTAAAAATATGAAAAATATTTCACTATTGCATCAAGTTTTGCAATATACATATGAAAGAAGTAAAAATGTAGTAAAATTTGTAGTAAATTATTTAATATATATTACAATAGGATAGATATATTAAATAGTTTATATATTGATATAAAGTCTCTCAGATGTTGATAAAATGTGAGTAAAATATTTCACAGAATTTTGTCCTGTCTTTTATATAATTCGATTATTTTTTTTAGTCTATAAAATTAGAGAGAAATAGAAGAAATAAAAGAACACAGTAGAAGATAATTTTATTATCTCTTTGATATGTAAACTTACCAAATAAAGCTCTTGCCACTCCCAGACTAGATGGATCAGTCGGACGATAAAGGAATTGAGTGAACTTTTCAAAACTCGATACATTGCTCGTTTTGAAATCGAATAGTCTCTCGAAGTTATTATTGAACGATTGTTTCAATAATGACCAACGTCCAGACAAGTACTTAAAATTTTCTACGTATAATCCATCGTTTGTAGATGTGTTTCTCGTTGATTCGTTCTTCTTCCTCCACATACCACTTCCAATTCTGCAAGAAAATAATATATATCTATTTAATTTTATTTTTAAGTAATCTCATCTTTCTAATTTTATCTTAGAGAGTGCGTCTACAAATTATATTAGATAATAAATATAATGTGTGACAAATTTAGAGATTCCATTTCTTTCTTACTGTAATTTTTGCGAGACATATTATTTATAAAGCGGGAGATCACTCTGTTTAATAGATCGTTTACACTAGTCGGCAAAAGTAGTTTGCTATTTTCGTAGTTTAATAACATACTTCATAGTTTTATATATTCTAGCATGTAAAGAGAATTTTGGAGTTTTTTAATCTTGCAAACAATAGCGTGCAAAATTTAATAATTCCTTAGAGAGCGAGGCTTACTCAAATAGCAAACTTTTTCCATATTCAGAAAAACTTACATTATAATACAAACTCAAGAGAAAAGATATATGAACAAATTGATTTTTCCAAACAAAATCAAATGATTACATCTTTTAAAGTAAATGGTTATTTATAATTTATTTGTTGCATAATAAATTTTTTCAATGTAAAAAAACAAATATATTATAATAAAAATTGTAGAGTCTTCTTCAGCTTTCATTTTATGTTTCGAGTTTTTTCTGAGTTGCATTTTTCTTTTCTGGCATAACTATTTTAGTATGGAGCTGTTTCTTTCTGCGTTTCATGCCATATAAAACTAATTAAAATTTATAGTATATCGTATGTGTAATAACTTGTATAAAATACTTATTTTTATTTTTTGTCATTTGGATAATCGAACGTTCGGTTAAACGGCGTTCGAATATAATAGAGGTTCTCTTGTACTTACTTATGTTAATCTACTGCGGGAAATCAGCCGTAATGTATGGTAATTGAACGAGTTGTTAACGTTGCCAATGAGTAAATCGCATTTTTCAAAACGAATTTACGGAATATTAAGTTTATTCGGCGTGTAAAACAAAAAAATTGGTCTTGTTGCAGATAAAAATGCTCGATTATATAACGATCATATAATTTATGAATATAACGCGGAGATTAACAAAGAATATAAATGTAAGTAGAAGAAACAAAATTCGTAAAATTATATATTAATTGAGAATTCAGAAATGCAATTTATAATTACGATATCAAAAATATTGTACTAGTTGTCATATCGTAATATATATAATTAATTAATATTGAAAAAAATTTAATTTACATAAAATTTAATTTACACATTGCATTTTAAATACCGCGATACAGTTATATTTTTAGATAATAATAATTTGCAAATTATGGAGATAATTAAAATAAATCGCAATCTAATTGTCATATGACAGAATCTTCTACGCATGCTGAATATATATTGCACATCTCGTCACGTGTTTCTCCCGCAAAAAGGTCGGTAGTTTCAAATGCATAGAGATCTTTTAGTGGATAGAAAAAACCGAGTGCAAATCGCATACCTGGGTAGTTCTCTTTGCGAATGGAGATGATACTGTAGGAAGACACACAGTCAATGAAGTTGGAAGACAAGATCTTCGTTTTCGCCTCTGATAGCGTCGAAGGAAGAGGAGCACTTCGCGCCGGCTGTTCCAAAGGTTCAGAGTAGGAATACCGTCGCCAAGCAACGTGGCACGGATTATTGACCCGCGCCCGCGCAATAATTATACTTTACAGCACTTCTTCATCTTGCGTGCATTAGACTTTCGTCGATAGACACCATCGATCTCTTTTATTAATAGCGAAATCTCCGATCGGAAAATAACGGGGTTTGTCACATAATTACTACGTGTAATAATAAAATTAAGCGCGACAGAAACGAGGCACTCTATATATTAAATGAGAATCACAAACATATAACAGATTATTTTCAATTATAATTTAATTTTTTATTTTTGCATTTATAAATGCTATTTTAGTAATGTGCACTAATATATTATATAATAATCAATGGCTAATTGAATTATTTTATTAATAGAATTAATAAAACTAATAGAAAAAAGAATTGAGTAAAAAAATATAAATAAAAGCTAATAAAAGATAATATGATATTGTTTTTATAGCACATATGTTTATTATGCTGTCTTCTATATATAACATATATGATTCACGAGAACTCGTTTGCGCCGTCTAGATTACGCTCGCATGAGCTATATTTGGTTATATTACTTTATGTGTTATCTACTCTCAGCTCTTAAACAAGTATTATCGTTTCGCCAAATGAAATTGCGCCATTGAATCACTTTTTCTAATTAAAAGTAGGAACCTTTTTTGTTAGAACAATTAACAAATAAATATTTTTTAAATTTTTTAAAAATATTTCTAGGAAGCTATTATTTCTAGGAAGCTTATAGAAACTAAATTATTTTAAATAAATTCGAGATAAAAAAAACAAATGAAAAATTAAGATTAATGTATCTTTTCCTTCGCGATAAAAATATTCAGATCACAGTTCGAGATAATTAATGAGTCTTATGGTACAGATTTTCTCGCGAGATTAGTAATACATGATCGTCTATAATGACACATTACCAACAATCACTGTTAAGCCGCCTTTCACGTCGTGCACAAGCAGAATTACAACTCGACTATTGAAACTTGGAATGTTTGCAATACTCATAAATTTATGATAGTAATTTTGGAGCTGGAGAAAGGCAGCGAAAACAACCATCTCCTATGTGGAGACGCTATCTATAAGAAGCTGTGTCAGAGTGCACAATTTCTCCGTTAAGAAGACATCTTCTGCTTGTGTTGCGCGCGTTCAGATACGACGAACGTTATCTCTGTCCGTCAATTTGCTTTATATAACAGAACCTGGATTCTTAACGAAGCGATAAATGGTGCATACAATTCGGATTTAATGTTTGTCTGCAATATAAATATGATAATTGAAAATTTTGTACTTTAAAGACCGAGACACAAGCTTTTTTCCAAATCGCTTTTTTTTATTTGACTTTATAATTACAGATTATATTTGATGAATGTTGGGAAATTTTTAGACGTCTATTATAACTTTTCATATATCATTTTTTGTTTTAAAATATTTAACTGCATCGTCTTCTGTTTGCGAAAGTCTGAGCGCAGCATTAAGCGCAATATGCTGTAATAAAATTTGCATATTACACGCGATAACAATAAATAGATGTATGTCGTAAATAATGGCACTGTCACACAATGCCCGAGATTATTTAATCGCGCTGGCCGTAGTCGTCGAATCGACACCGGGAGTCTTTTCGATCTCGCAGCTGGGGCGTTTTAATGAATGGACGCCGTTTCGCGTGCTGCATATATATGTATATATCCCCAACGGCCGTTTTAGGGCTGTAAAACAAAAGACTGATTTATTTCAGCACGCCCCTCAATCTGTCTCCATGGACCACTTTTGATTAGTGCTGCCTCTTCAAGTTTCGACCTTTCAAAACCGCCACCGTCGTCTCGTGACGGATTTCGTTCTTCCTAACTCCCATATTTGTGTGAATGCACTTCAGGATCACATATTTTGTTTTATTATTTTTATATTAATATATTAAAATATAATTTTATCAATATAAACAATATTTTTATTAATATAAACAAATAATTAATAAAACAATTTATATATATAAACATATATAACATAAATAACATAT